CCAAGCCAAAACAGGGAGGGGATTTGTAGATACTGTGTCGTTTTACCAGATGGAGCCTGAACAAAATATTTAAGGATTTTTCTAAAGTGTAATTATTTTTTTTAAAAAATTTAATGATATTAAAAATGATAAAATTTTATATTAATTTCATTATTATAAATTTTTTTTTGAATAAGTTATTAAGGGATGGGCTCGAAACCCGCCCATAGAAAAAGAGGATTACACTTCAAAGTTTAAACTGACAGGGTGTAAGTTGGACCGAAAGATCAGGTGTTATTATTATAAATTATTTTAATTAAATAACTAATTAAATAAGCATTAATTTTTATTTTTTAAAGACATACTAGGAAAAAAAAAAAAAAAGGTCTGGGTAAAGGTTAGAAAAATCTAATACACTGACTTTTGTCCATACGACGTTGTTTCTCTACGAGTGAATCTAGACATTAAGTAACTCAATTGTGACACCTTAATAAAAACAAAAGAACTTTGAATCATCGGAGCTCTCACCTTTGGCGGTGGCTAATTCTAACGCTTAGTTGGAAACAAGTAAATCTCCCAAGGCCTGCAGGTACAAACCATAGTTTCCAACTCGGCAACTTCTTAAATATTGGGAACGTGTAATTCACTAAATCGTTTACTTTTAGCCATACAACGTGGTTCTTCTTAATAGGTGAATTTACAGAAAGAGGAGAATTATTACATAATATATTATAAAACCTAACACCAACGAAGGGTTGGATCAAGTGGTAAGCGGCTTGTTCCAGCTTAAGCGAGGTCTCAAGTTCGAGTCCTTGTATGCAGCAGCCCCTGTTGGGAGACTCACCCACCATTTCCAGGGGCGCGACGCGGGTCGGGTCCAGATTAGTCGAGGCGAAACCTCGGATACCGGGCGGGAAACCAAAAAAAAAAATATTATAGAACCTAACAATAGGGACCTAATATTAGGTGTTTGGAAGCAAGGTCCAGACTTTGAACTCAAGATCCAAAGAGGAGAATTTAATAACCTTTTGTATAATATTGTTTATTTTTTTATATAATATTTTTTAATAACTTTTTCAATAAAATTTTTCTTTTATAAAGTTAGATCTACCCAAACAAACTCCTAAAGTCCTAATGTGCG